GGCGTCCTGGCCAAATTTCCCATTGGCCCTTACCAACCATGGCCTCCTAATAATCCCCGTCTCTGAACTGGCTTCATTACTTTGTTCTCTTCCCCCCCCACTCGGACGTCAGCCGGGGTGACGTGCCGGTTGGAGTATTCTTGGTCACACTTAATGGCAACGTCAGCTCAAAGATTTGGCTCAAACCACCAAATGGAGACGGGCGTGCCGACAAGCGGACCCTGCTGATGCGGGATTAACGCTCGGATGAGAGAGAGGTAAAACACTTTACCCTGTACTATCACCATAAATAGAGGCTGCAGAAAGCAAATATCTTAGATAGAGGTGGCAACACAGGTATCCATCTCTGACAGACCAGTCAATCTCCTGTTACCTGCAAACCAGCGTGACAGACAGTCCATCTGTTGATGATGTGAAGTACAGAGCATATAAATCTGCCAATTCACCCACCATCTGAGCAGCACACGGGTTGAGAGAGATTTTGTTTTATATTGCCTTTCAAAAGCTTGTTGTGACAGTCAGGTCTAACTGAGAAAAGAGGCAGATATGAGTCATCTGGCTCTTCGCAAACAGTGAAGGCCTTTTCATAGGACAGTACACTCTTTATCAGTGTGACAGACAAGAGGCCAGCATTCTGCCCACGATCGGATAAGCACAGCCTCTGACCACATCTTCGGCAAGCAGAAAGAGCCTGTGAAGAGCCTGATAGATCAGGTCAAGGGTGCTACTGTTCAGGATTTTCCACCCAAACTACATAAATATTAAAAAGATATTCAGCCCTGTACAGTATTCTAACACCATATCTTGGACCACTGAAACCATCCCAAAATATATCTCAGAGGAGCTGGGAAGAAAGTCTTTCGTCACCCTGCTTTGCGACAAAAAACAGTTCAATTCCACATTAGTTCGGTCAAGTACTGGAATCAAGATGATTTAGGTATGTTTTCAGGGGGGTGAGAAAAAAATGCAAAGGATTTGGCAGTTTAAATAATGCTTCATACTAAATAAGGACTTTTCATCCCAGCAGAGAGAGTTTGCTCAATGAAAATAAAGGAAACCAGAGGCCGCCATCAGAAATGCATCAATGACTAACAAAGAACTCTCTTTAAGAAACATGACAGCATGACAGTTTTATCTTATCCATGTAGTTCAAATGTTGGCGTCTGCACTACTGGACTGCTTCAGGAGTACTAGGCAGCACAAGACTTAATGAGTGTTATTTCTGTTTTGTAAGAACACCTACAAAGGGACAACCTCATGACAAAGAGGCGCAGTCGGTGACGATAGAGGTGTGAGCGATACAAATGACAGGTATTAGAGAGAGAGAATAGCGTACGTTTGTCAATGTCAGAGAAGGATCTCTGTAACAAAAGGATATCAAGCTTCTCAATTAAAAAAAAATGACTTGAAAATGATTCCAAAAGGAGAACGAGACATCCAGACTAATGAAGTCAGGTCTGAGGAGACATTTACTTCTCATACACTGCCAAGAATCTGCAGCTGGACGGACGTCTCTGGAGCAGACAGATGTGGCACAGCTTTCCAGAAGCTACAATAAATGAGTTAAGAAAAGCAGAATGGGGCAGAAGAAAATATTTGCAGTTGTTTAACCGTTTCTAGGACATCTATCATGATCAGTGCTGACTTACACATATAACCCTCCAGAATCAGTGAATTAAAACGAGGGTGGAGTCTAGGGCCAGGATAGTGGTCCAGTCCTGGTGCCGGAAGGCCTGTAGTATGCACAGATTTTCATTCCAGCTGGGCTTTTAAACAACCCAAATTAGCTCACTATTGGTTGAACTGGACCAGTTTAACAATACTTCTCCCAGCTTCAGGACAGGCCAGGACACCATCCTTCTGAGGATCAGGAATGGACAGCTCTGCTCTAATCAATTAAAGAGGGGAACAATAATACAAATGCACTAAAATGAAAGGGTGAATAAACAAAAAAGGGGAAGACATTTGCCTTTTCTGGTGATGTCCGACAAAATTGGCCTGTGACTAACTGCATTTAACTGCTCCTTATACTCTCTAAGCTTTGGACAATTGGAGTCGGGACCTTCTGAATTAACAAGACACTACACATGGCTCATGCACTGGTCAAGACAGACTCGGAGATGAAACCCTGCAGAAGAGCCCCAAGCAGATCTCTTCAATGCTTCTAACGCCTTGATCTCTCTGGGACCTCCCCGATTGCTGGGAAGCGTTAATCCATCGGAAATGGAGCTTATCATGATGTTCGTCTTCCATAAAGCCCATGAAATATCTAATGCACGACTGGTCTTCACGGGTGGTGCAGTCTTTATGTTACACCATCTATAATGCAATCGGAGCAGTTGGGAAGGGATATATAACAAGCTGCATCACGAGCTCCTGTTGGAAAAAAAAAAAAGTATCTGGAATGGCGGTTCTCATTCTGGATTCATACATTTCAATGGGACATGAACAAATCTATACACTTTCTACGGGGAGTGTTTAAAATCAGCCCCGAAGCCCAGTCCATTTCCCGTCTTCCTCAATCCAAGACTCTGCGCCTTTACCTTCGCTGAAACATCCGGGAAAGCACTCGTCCTCTTGATGGAAGACGTTATAGCGTTTTCACAGCCTGGAGGACGCTCGGTCTTCTGGTTTTCGCTTCAGCTGAGCTCTTCCTTCATGAAATGGACTGACCCTTCAGTCGACCTGTTTCAGCTCTTGAACAGTGAGGCGGGGGCGCGGGATTCGAGTAGAGGAGTTTATTGCCATGTGCGCATTAGAATTCGTTTTCGCGCTGATCTCTCGGGACACACACACGCACACCGAAACAGACAACACAACACAGTGCACACAGCACATTACAATAAGTATGTAGTCGTGAGGAAAAAAACGTAGCAGGCCACGCAAAAAGTGCCGAGGGCAGATGTGTGTTGAGTTTGATATTAGCAATGTGACCTGCTCAGTCTCAGAACTCCTCTCGCCTAGGATTCGTATTTCTTCAATACCAGGTAGAATTTAACCCACGAGTACACCAATCAGGGAGATTCCGTATTATTATGGAAATGTGGAACAGTGTCTCTCCCAACTGTGTCCATATCTCATTAGTTAATAAATTATCGGGATTTGTTTTTAAAAAGTAGGGAAAACAATTTTAAACTAAGGTGAACAGAGACGTTCGCTGCATTTCTTGGACACAGTGTCCAGAAACGAAATTTCCGAAACTGAGATCTGCTGGAGGAAAACTTGAATCAATCAAGATATTAGTTAAATGAAAGGCTCAATAATTGTAACTAAATAGGAGCGCGGGTGTAACAAAAGTCGGGTTCTTTTCACCGCTGTGAAACACTGCCCTATGCGCACCGACACAACCCTGCAAGTGGATAAGCAGCCGGAATTAGGATGAGCGAACTGGAAATTCTACAAAAGGTGAAACCTGACTCTGGGAATCAAGACCTACAATTTATTCCGCCATAAGACACAGCTCTCACGAGAAACAGTGATGCCGACTTCGCAATCAGCAGTGAAACTCTAACTTGAGCTTATGCATGAGGGCCAACAATATACATTAACATTAATCTCTCTGATGTATTTCAATTTTTTTTTTTAAATAAACGCCACCGGGTTGTGTACGAGCGCGGCTGGACGAAAACTCAGCTTTATGGCGACCGCACTGATACAGTATTGAAGACTGCAACGAGCAGTTCTCAACCCGCAGAGCTGAGCTCGAGGAACGCCACGAGCCCCCCCCCCCCTCCTCGCAGACCAGCGGCGACCCGCCGCTCCAGCCGAGCGCAGGGTCCCGCGCGTCCCCGCGCGCACCTGGTCCGAATGACCTCTGATAACCCCGGACACTCCGCCTTGAACGAGACTCTCCGGCAGGCACGGAATTCCGACGGCGGCTCCGCCTCCCGTGGGCTGTGATTGGACAGGTGCGGCCAGAGCCGTCGCTCCCTATTGGCTGGCTAATCCTCATTGACTCTCCCCCTCCACCTCCCTCTCTCCTCCCCTCCCCTCCACCTTCACTTTGTCAATTTCTGCGCCTTCATTGAAATCCCTCGGTTCTCGGGCTGCGAAGTTTACAGCCTGCGTTGTGGTTTTTCAGTAGGTGGCGGAGAGCGGGGACAGATAAGGAAGAGGGAAGCTCCCTTTTACGCGTCAACTCTCCCAGTGGCGTGCGGACGAACCACCCACCCCTACCACTATACACACACACGGCCGACGGGGAACAGTGCGTTATTGTTCATTTCGCTGCTGAATCTGGACAGGGGACCTCGCCTGGAGAGACTCCAGAAACTCGCCAAATAGTGTGTCGCCGCGGGAGTTGGGCGACTTGCTCTTGAACGCCGTGGAGTGCAGGGGGTGGATAACTTCTGCTCCCAGCAATGAATCTCTCGGAAGCGCTCGACCAGACTCACCTTTGATGGTTTTTCCTGCGAAAGTGGTAAAGCGGGGAAAAACACTTATAGTTTTATTTGCCTTTTAATGTTGGGTTTTTTTTTTATTATTTCGGAGCAATTAACAGCCGCTAAAAAAAGGGAGGGGGAATACAGATAAAATGCCGGACCAGATTACAGTGTCGGAATTTGTGGCGGAGACGAATGAAGATTACAAAGCGCCTACAGCTTCCAATTTCACCACTAGGATGTCTCATTGCAGGAATACGGTGACGGCGCTGGAAGAGGTGAGAGTCCCCGTCTCTCTTAAGTGCCGTTTATACGGCGGCTCAGCTCGCTGTATTTAATGAATGCAATTTGCCAGACAAGTGCGCCGACCTTTCCTAACTGCCTGAACCGCTCGTCTCTCCACACTCCGTGAACTGCAGAACTGACCTGACATTGTTCTGCTTGACGCATGTCCCGCGTTTGTGCATTTTGTGTCTCTTTTAATTGGGTTTGCTTTCCCCCTGGACAAGCTGACACCGGAGATCCGTGTAGCTCACGAACTTGCAATCGCGAATTCTTCGGTATTGATGAAATATCGTTTACAAACAGATGAACCAAGGCACTTTATCGGAGAGTCTTGTCCCTGACGAAGCTTTGTGTGGGTGTCTGTGGATCAGACAATTCATGTCAGCTATTTGCGTGTCCTGTCTTAAATCTGAAGGTTTAATAGTTCTATTATGTAAGATAGAAGTTGACGAAATGTTGCCGTGTGTCGTCTTGTCGTCTCTGCTGTGTAAAGACGAGTCTTGTGCCGTGGGTATGTACTGTATATGCACATTATATAAACGACAGGTACACGGGAACCGCTGATTGTGTGAGATAAAAGGTTTAGAAAGCGGCGTATTTCCCTTCTCATGCAAATATGTTACGTCAGTTTGGACCTTTACGTTGTTTAATCCCCTTTTACGCGTTAAAGCCGTGCGTGCGGCGGACAGTGTCTCCGCTCCGGCTGGTCGTTCGTTTTTTTTGTTGGGTTTTTTTTGCCTCCGAGCGCCTTTCCCTGCAAGCGGAGGATCTCTGCCCTCGAGTGAGAGGAGGAATACACTTCCGCTTCTCCGAGCCGAGCCCAGTGCCGTCCCTCGCGCCGGGCCGGACCTCGCCCCGCGCCGCGCCGCGCGCGAGAGGGGCTGCCCTTCTCCGGCTGCGGTGTCACTGCCGCTCTGGCTGATCGCTCTGCGTCCCTCCCCCCCAAAATGGGTCCGCTACTTCGAAAGACCGATTAATTCCACACAGTAATTCGTTTTGTTTGTTTGTTTTACCCCCTTAAAGATCTCGCCTTAACTGTTCCATTAAGGACCTTTGGCGTGCGCACAGAAACTCACTGGACGTCGAGATTGGCACAAGAAACACTGTCTCCCCCACTTTGGCCGTATTTCCGACGCGATCGTGTTTAGTGTCATCGGTTTTTAGTACCCAATATCACCCCCCCCATCCACCACCTTCGGAGTTTCTTGAGGGAAAATAAGAAATATTCCTTCTGACTCGAAAGACTCCAGGCGATTAGCTGAACCCCCTGTGCGATCTGGTCCGTGTCTCTGTAGCTCGGTGTTCTTCCCTTGCTGGGAATGAGTTCTCGCTGCTGAAGGATGTTGTGTACACTCTGACATGTCTCCGGGGAACTCGCTAACTGTCCTGGAGGAGAGGCAAACCGAAGGACAAGTTGGACCGCGGCTTTGTTGATTTCCTCGTGTTGCACCGCACAACATGTCTGGTGTTGGCGAGCGCGTGCCTTGGCGACAGATGGACCTCGTCTGAAGACATCTGTGGCGGTGGTGTCAGAAGTTCCACACGTTTCTCGAGCAGCAGGGACGGCATTTCCTTACTGTCCGCCTCACTTTGTCAGTATTCCCAAGCACGAGATGATACGGATGACGTTAAGTATTGGGCTGCTGACGGGAGAACTTTCAGAGATGATGGCTTCAGTTGTCTGTCGGCCATAACTGCGGAAAGTCCCATCGCCTTTTCATAACCTCATCGCGCCGGGTCCTGGTCGAGCCAGAGCCTATCCCGGGAACAACTGGGTGCAGTACACCCTGGGCAGGAAAACCAGTCAATTGCAGGACACCCACAGGCACACACACACACCAGGCCTAATATTCCCAGAAGCCCGGTTTGTCTTTGGGCTGTGGGAGGAAGCCAGAGCACCTGGAGGAGACATGCCAACTCTGCCCCAGGACCTGAAACCAGGATCCCAACCCCGGGTCAACCACCCCCCCCCAGTGCCTTTTCTTACACTTATTTCCTGAAAAATGTAGATGACCATCCAAATGAAAATGTTTCTTTTAATAAAGCAAAAAGCACAAGGCCTTTTGAGGTTCACAAGATGAAGCTACAGTATGTGGAAGTGCTTTTAAACCCAAGAACCGGTGGCCCTTCTTTACTTAAAGAGTGGTAGGAGTGTGGGACAAATTACCCATCCATGTTGTTGTAGTGGAGACCCTGGTGTCTTTCAAGGAATGGACGGAGATCCTTGGGTACAATAACTACTAAAACCCTTACAGGCCACATGACATCTTGTGTGTGTGTGTGACCTCCTGTATTCTAAAATCTGAGACTTGTTTTTTTTTAATAGTAATGGCAGACAGTTGATATTTGTAGTTGCAGTGCTGGAAAGTTATATTAAAACTTTAGCATGTTGGAACAGGTTGATTCAGGTGCTCATAAAGTAGAAAGAATTTCCTGAACTCCTCTGGGGTTTGCTGTGCGTAAATGGGAGTTTCTGATCCAGCAATCCCGATCAAATTCTTGTATCCCCAGTTCCCGTCCGTGGAATCCCCGGGAACTCAACGAATTTCTCCAGCTTGGACTTCTGAACCCCACACACACTGCTGTAAGACACACTTCTTCTGCACTGGCCATGGTATCGTGTGTTGACAAAACATGAGAAAGCTTGAAACACGTTATGAATAAATTACATGCTGCAGGGTGAATTGCAGAGACACTTCAGTTTTTTTTAATGAAAAAATGGAACTGCTGTAGTATTGCATTTAAATCAGTGTGGTCAGAAACAGGATGTTTCCCACAATTTGGATGCTGTGTCAAACACAGAATACAGCTTGTGCAGTCTCAAGAGTGCAGTTTCTTCGACTTTTAGAGCAGGGTTTGCGAACACAAGAACTGGTTTTATTGCAACTGAGCTCTTGATCTTTGGATGATTGATCCCTTTAATTGAATTTCTTTCTTGATTCGGCGCTTTCAACCCGTGTCTGTTCCCCGCCTTTGTGTTCAGAACTACTTTGCCGTGCGTTTTTGTGAAGACGGGGAGCAAAACGTGCTCAGCTTCCCCGAGTGCTGGCTGATGCTCTTTCCTGTCTGCGCAGCTCTCGGTAGGCGACTAAGGACGCCTGTTCACAGGTGGGAATGACTTAGTCCGGCCTCACATTTCCATCAACAGGAAGCCAGTACTCTGCAGTGGTCCCATAACAAAACACACCTGGATGAGGGCAGGTGTGAAACCCAGGCACTGCTTCAGCATTAATACCAATTAACAACCCCGCTTAAGTTCTTCTGAACTGGAAAAAAAAAAGATCCCGATCAGATGAGGCTAATTGAGCTAAGTTAAGGAACAGAAGAACAGGGTACGATAATGTTGTGTGGTGTTAGGCTCTTTATTTTAAAATTGGAAATATTTTCAATCTATTCTTTAGGCTGTTTTTTAAGAGCCAAAAATGGGTCAACCAGTTATCAGGTTTATCTCAGGTTCAGTTTAAGAAAACCAGAGTTTTTCATACGCAGTGTAAAGGTCTACCCTATAGTTCCTGAGGTTGGATAATTTCCGCTCGAGAATGCGGTGCAGACTGCAATGTGACGTTTTCACGCGATATTTTATACGTCCCTTTGGAGGTGCTGGGTTTCCAGTTTTGCTTAAATGATTAAGAAGCGGCCCAACATGTTGGCTCCTGAAACATGTCACTGCCGTGGACCGAAAGGGAAATCAAAATCTGATTTTGGCAGCTCTCGCTGACGAGTCACGCCATCGGGGAAGTTATTGCAAAGCTTGTGTCAATAAAACTAGGCCCGAAACCCTTAACCTTTCACAGAGTTGAGGCGGTAGCCTAATATTGATTCAGGACTCTAGGGGTGGAGACTCGCACCGGAGGGGGGGGCGTTTGGCGCTGATTTGACCTCCGTTGGCGATCTCTGCCGCGAGCAGAAAATTCAAGCAACCCGGAAGAATATTCATATCTTGCTGTCGATGTTGACAGGCTCAGAGAGTTCAGATAAAAAAATCAAAAGGTGATTCAGGTTTGTGGAATTGCTTTGTGTCGTTTTTCCCTAGGCAATCGAAATAGGTTGTTATGTGAGCTGTACTGAGTAGAGAAATATGCGGCCGGACTGGTTTTCCTAACTGTAACCTCTCCTGAGTGGAACGCCGAACACAGGAGTGATTGTCTCAGGGAAGAGTACTGCATCTTCCTTCCCAGTGAGGTGCTGTGGCTCTGACAACGGAAGCACTGCCCTAAACGTATATATGTGGATCGTCCCAGGTCTGTGCTTGTTTACAGAGCTAAAAAGCAATTGGGAGTTCTGCCAGTTGTCAGAATAGCAAAGCTTAAAGCTTAAAACCTGTGCGATGTTGACATTTAAAATGCTGGGGTCAGGGTGAGGATCAACGCAGGCTTTTTCCCCCCACAATATTATCCAGAATGTTTCAGCATCTTTAGAACAAGTGCAGTCTTTGATCATTTCTTAGCGTTTCCATCTTTACGTGGAGATTGAAGTATTGTGCGTATTCTACTCCTTCTTTAAAGTTCTTTTTGCTCAGCAGTTTGTGTTGGTTTTAAATTGAACCAAGCAGAGTAGGGTGGCGCGGTGTTGCCTCGCAGCTCTGGGGCCCTGGCGGCAATTCCGACCCTGGGGTGCCGTCTGTGTGGAGTTCGTATGTTCTCCTTCGGTCGTGTGTGTTTTCTCTGGATGCCCCAACTGTTTTCTCTCATACTTTGGGATACGTTCTGGAAGGTTTATTGCCATGTAGGAAAATTTGGCCCTGGTGTGAGTAGGGTGGGTGCCCTAAGATGGACTGGCGTCCCATCCAGGGTGTACCCTGCCCAGTGTCCCTTGCTTCCTGGGATAGGCTCTGGCTCTCCCTCAGCCCTGAATTGGATGAAGCAGTTAGGAAACGGATGGATGGATTATCGAACAGAACAGTAAGACGGAAGCTGACAGTACCCCGTGACTTCTGGTGTGTTCACAGAGAGAAGGTTTCCGGACCAAATCCTGTGTCGCAGCGCGGCTGACT